CACACCCAGCGCCCGGCTCCGCGGCCCGAGCGCTCGCCCCCGCCGGCCGCGAGCCCCCCACCTTCGGCTCCCCCCGGGGAAGGGAGGAGGGTAGGTGGGCGAGGAAGAGGAAGGGGCGGGCGGTGCGAGCCCTCTGCCCGCTGCCCTCCGGCCGCTCCAGGCCCCGGGCTCGCCTCCCTTCCCCTCTGGCTTCGGAAGCTGCCCCGCCCCCGGCCTGGCCGGCTCCGGTCGGCGGCACCCCCTCGACCCCCGGCTGGCGGTGATCGCAGGGGGCCTAGAGGTGCATGGCCCAGCCCCGGCTCCCGGCGCCGGGGGTCAGGAAACTGAGCGGAAAGTGGGGACCGAGGCAGCCATTTGCAACCGGAGAGGAAAGTAGTGCAGCGCGGCGCCGCTCCGCCTCCCCCCTCCGCCTCCTGTTCGGCCGGTAGGGTGGTTCCTGCGAAAGGGCTGTTTTCGCGCCTGAGAGCTGGGCAGCGGTCGCAGAGATTCGTGAAGCCTCCGGCGCGAGATCCAGAGGGGTGCCTTTTGCTCGGGGAACCCCACTCGAGAAGGGGAGAAAAGCGAAGATGCGGCCCTATTTTGTGTTGGAGCGGGGCGGCGGAGGGACACGGCCCTCTCGGAGGAAAGGCTGTGACTCTGCAGTTCTACGCACACGCTGCGGGATCCCTCCGCCCCAGGTTAACCCCGACCGCGCCGGGCCGGCGGCCGGCAGACACGTGGGAATGGAGCCATCCTCCGCGCCCCGGCCCTGGACCTGCTTCCTCCACCGCCTGGGCGGCGCGGCCGGGCTTCTGGCCGCTTTCTAGTTCCGTTCACTTGTAGTCATTGGTCCCTGAAACTCCTGCTGCCCCCTTGCCTTGGCCAGGGGCGATCCTTGCCGGGAGGGGGATGGAAGAAGAGGTAGGAGATTGGCCGCTGCTCTGCATCCTGGGAACTGGAGTCCGCAAATGGAGAAAGTGAGGCACGGCGCCTGGCGCTGCACGGGGTAGGCTCCTGCCACGTTGGGGGCCCGAAGAAAGCTGAACCAGTCCCAGGTCTTCAGACACTCGGATCCCCTCGTGAGGAAGAGCCGTCGGCGCCCTCACGGTCCCCAACACACACCACCTCCCCTCCCCAACATTAACAGCCTGGGGGAGCCTTTGCAGATGTGTCTGCGCCCATCCCGTCTTCCCAGATCCCCAAGGCCAGCTCCCTCTTTTTTTCAGTAAGTTGCGGTAGCCTCGTCACTGCCTGGCCGCAACGCTGTTACTTGGGACAAGACTGCAGCACACACTCCTGACAGGCACTCTCTTCCAAGTCTGGATGTGGGGAACAGATTGGAATGCATTTTCCGCTTGAGCTGTGTGTACACCTCAGGGAGGCAGGAGACAAACTATATGCTAGATACTTTACATCTCAGTTACTCCTAACCACAGTATGAATTACATGGAATTATCTTCATACTGGTTAAAAGATTGAGGCTAAAATAGATAAAACTGCCGAAGGAATCATACTGTGAAAACTTCAACCACAATTCAAACCAAAAGCTATGTTTTTCCTAGAATTTAAAAAGAAATAACTTTTTTAGGGCCAGGGATATAGCTCAGTAGCACAGCACCTGCCTGGCAAGCGTGAGGTCCTGAGTTTGACTCCCAATACAAAAAAGAGAAAAATTTTTAAAAGAGGTAGGAAAAGAAGCTGGCAAGTTTGGCACACAGCGGGCCGTGGTTGCACATGCCTGTAACGCCAGCACTTGAAAATTCAAGGCCAACCTCAACTACATAGTGAGATCCTGTCTAAAAAATTAGGTCCAGAGCCAATTCTGTGGAGAAGCGTTTCCAGCACCGTCCAGTAGACCTTTCTGCAATGATGCAAATGTGCTGTATCTGTACCATCTAGCATGATAGCCATCAACCACATGTAGCTATTGGATACTTTGAAGTACAGGAGATGCAAGTGAAGAACTAACTTCACTTACATTTATACAGCTATATGTAACTTGTGACTTCCGTATTGGACAGTGCAGGAGACCTGGCTTTGGTCATAAAGGGATCGGTATTTTGCGATCCACATATTAGCATCATGTTCTCTGCTCCGACCACTCAAGTCCATTTCAGAGAGAAACAAAGAAACAATTTCAGCAGTGACTCTGCACCTGTCCCTACTGTAGTAGAATAAGTTAACTAAAGAGACACGGAAAATGGAAGGTACCTCCCTACAGTCTGTACCAGAGGCACGGACAGAAGGACCTCCAGTAATAAGAGCTGCCATTTTTAAGGGTTTATTATGTAGCATGTATAATGCTAGTCATTGTATCTTCTGGATTCTCAGCTCTCTGAAGCAGGCTTCGCCACATTTCATAACTGAGGCTCAGAGAAATTAAGTGGCTGCCCAAGTGACTATGGAGAAGCCAGCTATTAACCAGCTATAATCACTTTGTCTCCAGGGCTTCAGATTGCTTATTGATAAACATCTAGAAAACATCAGATGTTTGTAAGTTTATCCCAGACCTGATGGATATGGCAGTGGTAAGCCCCTAGAGTGACTCTCCTGGTCAGACGTGCAAAAAGACCTAATTGTAATGACAAGACGGTGACAGGCCTGAAGCACCTCTCAAGCCACTTCAATTGCTCTTCAGAGTATGTTTTTCCAGCAGCCCTTATTCCTTTTTGGATTCTAGATCAGAGAAAGAAAAAGCAGCTGGCAAGATTTTTGAAAATCAGATGGTAAGTCCTCATCTCTAACTGTACACCTGGAGCCAGGCACTGACAACATCAAGACTAAAAATCACACCTAGATTTTGTCTGTCTTCCCCCAATAAGTGTATTAACAGGGTACTTTGGCCTCCGTCAGCAGGAGAGGTCTTTGTCCTCACTATGAAAACCACAGACACCCTCACAAGTCCTTAGGGAAGAATTGAGCCAGTTAGGCTCAGCTTGGGAGCAATAGGGAGTCAAGAAAAAAAGTAGAAGCAAAAAGACTCAAAACCTTTCTAGCTCGAACATCCATTTCCTTCAGAGGCAGCAAATCCGTGAGAAAGGGCAGAAACCAATAGCCTTTTAACACCTAAAAAAAGGTGCACAATTCTGAAAGTGTGTGAAAAGATCACCAAATGTACGAATGCCCATTAATATAGTGAAAGAGATTAAGTACATGAGGGGCGGAGAGGATGCGCTAGGGGCTTTCTTTGCAACTCCTGGGGAATCAAAATCTTTACGCTTTTAGTTTCTGCCTTTATACTCCTTCCTGATTTTGGTTTTTTTTTTTTTGAAACAGGATCTCACTAAGTAGCTCAGGCTGGCCTTGAACTCTCCATTCTCCTGCCTCTGCCTCTTGAAAGCTGGGATTACAGGCATGTACCACCACACCCAGCTCCCCTTAGGAATGAGGGGCTTCTTCCCTCCTCCTCAAATCCTACCCACTGAGCTGCAGCAAATGCCAAGGCCCAAGGACAGCTAGGTCAGCATGTGGCAACTGGCCACTAGAGGGTGGTGTTTCTGCAGTTAAAGGATCTTCAGAGCCACGAATTTGGATGGGTGGGGCAGCCAACTAAACTGCAGTACAGGGGGAACCCGACAGGATAGGAAGGGGAGGAACGCAAGTAGTAATTTTTAGAGTAATGGCCCTTAAAAAATGAGTAAGGACCAGGAATGAGGTAGGACAAAAGATCTCCAAATACCACAGCCACACTCCTTGGAAAATAAGATACAGTATTGCCTGGGTTGGCCCCAGATATGGAGAAGTCAACAACAAAAGATTTCTCATTTTATTTGCAGATATACATTGTCAGCCCAGGGAGCCAGCTCTATTTCAGGAGTTCCTAGCTCTCCTTACCCACCCAACACCTAAAACCTACACAGGAGGATGAACCTTAGATAAACAATCACAGGACTCAAGTACTTTCTGCATATTATAACACAATTCATTTAGCAAAAACAGGGATAGGGACCAGTGTCCATGAGACACCCTTGCCCTTTTGTAAACATTGATGCCCAGGCCACTGGAGCCTGGAGAAAGTGTGCAAATATGAGGGTACCGCACTGTGTGCCCATAAGGCCAAACATGCTGGTAACTACACCCATGAAGTCCTGAGGGTCTGCCCCCACTGGAGCCAGCTAGTGCCAAGGGCAGAATCGAGGCAGTCAACCCACGCCTGAGAGCTCACATGAGACGACATCGACGCTCTTGCCCATAGGAATTCTCCACACGGGCAATTTCCTGGATAACTCTGGTGAAGATGTTTTGAGTCAGCTAAAAGGAAGGACAGGCATTCAACGGAAATCAGTTAGCTCAGTGCCATGGTGACTATCCCACCCCCATCATCCCCACCACCAAAAAATGTGCAAGGAACACTGCTATCCCCACCACCCTCTAAGCATTCAGGCCCAGCACCTGATTCTCTCGAGCAGATGACTCCATAAATGTTGCACCCCAGGACTCTGCTAGTTTCTTCCCTTGGACTGCCTGCACCTCTCTGGAAGCAAATTCAGGACAAAAAGATGGATGATAGCAACCTCTCCAAGTTTTCTGCAAAATCTTTACAATCTAGACTTTACAATCTGATGCATCCTACCTCCCCAGGCTTCCAGCCACAGGTTAAAGGTAAAAATATAGGTAAACAAAAGAATAATGTGTGGATCTAGAAGTGAGGCTTAAAATAGTACAACTGTGGCTCTTGTAACAGAAGGCCTATCTTTTTTTATGTATTTATTTTTGAGACAGGGTGTTGTTATGAGATTCAGGCTGGTCCTGAACTCACTATGTAGCCTAGGCTGGTCTCAAACTCATAGTGATCCTCCTGCCTCAGCCTCCCCAGGGCTGGGATTATAGGTGTGTGCCACCACACTCAGCTCAGAAGGGCTATCTTCTCTTAACCAAGTTAGAAATGAAGAGAGGTGAAATGACTTGAGTCAGCAGCACAGCCAGGACTGGAGCTTGACCAATTACTAGCTCTTCTCACTTTCCTTTGCCCTAAGCAGTAGAGATTTACATACCTTTCGGAAGAAAGATCTGCCTTGTTCCCCACTAGCACCACTGGCAACCTGTGAGGAAACAGCATTCACTATAGGACCCTCTCCCATGTTCCATGGACCCCAAGTGCACTCACACCCAGGCCTTTGCGTCCCGTCACATCAGCCACGACCTATGCCCCAGCTTCCTCTCCGCCCCCAACAGCCCACCCCTCTCCTCTCTCCCACCCTGTCTTCCCCACACTGTGCAATCCCTTGGGCCACTTACCGGGTCTTCCCATGGCCTTGGTGTAGCTTCTGGTACAGACTCTCAATGACATGGAAGCTTTAAACACAAGAAAGGAGCTATAACCCTAACGCTGGGACGGCCTCAGGCCCTCCCAAGCCTCCACGCACAACTTTGCTCACTTACCTATGCAGAGAGGTGACAGAATACACAAGCACATAACCATGGACCCCAATGATGAATGAATAGGGCAGGATGCTGTACTCATCCTGACAAGAAATAGCAACATCAGTACCGAGATCCATACCACGCAGAGGCCAAAGGCTGGTGGGACAGCATCCAAGTGACCCTCCCTGTAGCACTCCCTGCTCCAGTTACTTCGGGTTAACAGGTACTTATGGAGCAGCTCCAAAAAGCCCTGCACACTGTTAGAAGCTAAAATACTACTCTTTTAATACTGCTTTACACGTGAACCAGAGACTAGCAGACTTCATCTCTTAGGGCTGAGTGCCATATTTGGATACCCTACCCCAATGGGTACCTGCCCTGCCGTGTCCACCAGGTGTAGGTGAAACTCATCTTTGCCAAGAGTCACTATCTTGCTGTAAGCTGAAAAGAAAAGAAAACTTGACTGTGACGTGTCTTGTAGGGCCAGCAATGTATGCCCCATATAGTCTTTACCCTGGGGGTTACGTAACTGGATCAGATCCATGGAGTTCTCCAGGAAACTGGAGAGAAAAGCTAGGGTTTTTTATTTTGTTTGGAGACAGGGTCTCACTGTGTGGTTCAGGCTGGCCTTGAACTTGTGGTGATCCTCCTGACTCAGCCTCCCTAATGCTGGGATTACAGGCACGGGCCACCACACTTGGCTCTAGGGTACTTATTATCTATTATCTATAGGACTGCTAGAGAGATTAGATTTAAGGCAACTGTTATCTACAGGATTGCTAGAGAGATTAGATTTAAGGACTGAGTAAAGCAGCCCTTGGCAAAACAGGGAAATCCCAAATTATGGAGTTGGCTGGGGCACCCAAGGACTCCAAGTCCCCTCCCCTTCACACTAACTGTGAGAAGACTACTCACTGTTCTCCACTGTAGGATCGTAGCCTTCCAAGAACTCGCCTTCCACAAACTGATGTGCCAAAGATGTCTTCCCTGTGGGAGGGGGTAGTTGGCAGTTGCATTCCACTCCCCTATTCACATCATCTGTCCTTTTGGCCCGGATCAAAGGGCACCCCAAATCAGCACCCAGGTCTGTTAGGGTCCCAAACGAGGCCTTCTCTTAGCCTACCCACAGGCAGCCTTTCCCGACTTTTCCCACCACACCCCCAAAGATCCAGGACTCCCTAAAATCAAGCCCGACCGCCCCAGGGCACTTGCGACCACTTGCCCCACGAAGACCGCGCTGGTGCCTTCAAATCCCGAGCCCACCCCTACTTCCAGTAACAGCGGGGACCCCTGGGATGCTCCTGCAGCCAAGTCCGCATTCACCCTTACACGCTCCGCTTCCGGCAGCCCTCGACAGCCTATGAGCCCTTACCCCTACCCTCCCGCACCCCGCTTCCCCCGGGCCGCCACGATGCCGGCGCGCGTTCCCGCTCTGCGCGGGGCGGAGCTCACCCACTGAGCGGTACCCGAGGATCACCACCTTCCTGTAGCGGACCAGCGGCATGGCAGGAACCAGCCCCGAGGGGCCCGAGGAACTGCGGGACGAGAGAGCCCGAAGAAGGGCCCCGGAGGTAGGTGCGTGCCGCAACCAAAGCAGGAAAGTCGCTCGGCCGCAGCTGCCCGAGGCGAGCTGCAGAGAAACCAAAACAAGCGCCGCGCCCGGAGCCGGCCACGTGATCACAACACTGCACGGCTGGGGCGAAGGAGCCGGCGCCGGGAACTCCGCCGCCTGTGTGCTCCGGGCTCCGCCCCCCAGGTCGCTCTCCATTGGCCCATTGGAAAGGATTAAGGCGGGGCCGCCGGCCGGGGAGAAAGGTGGGTCTCACGTGGAGCGGGAGAGCGGGCAGCTGCGCATGCGTAGGCGTGAACCGGTTCATTCATAAAGAAACAGAAAGGAACCCGGGGTCCTAAAGGTACTTGCGCATTTGCAGCCTCGGAAGGAGTGGCTGCGAAGGAGCAGGAGCGTGAAGAAAAGTATCTATTGTGGCTGGGCTGGACTTTCTGATCAAAGATCCCAGGCCTCCTTTTTGCAAGATCTTTGGGGTCCTCGGCTAGGGAAAAAGGGCCAAAGAGTTCAGTATGTTCCCTGCGCTTCCCCCAGCCTTCAGCCACCGATCTTTCGTTACTAGGCTTCACAGTCTTCCAGGACCTAACTTCGCAACAGCAATTCTCTGTTGTTGTTGTTGTTGTGCTGTTTTGTTTTGTTTCTTTCGTTCTTTCTTTTTTTTTTTTTTTTTTTTTT